CCTGATAATGCTCAAGTAAAGGTCACTGCATATGCAGATGATATTACTATACACGTGCATAAGAACAGCCGCTGCAGCATGCCCTTTATACTTTCCATCATTTCGGCATTATCTCCGGTGCAAGATTAAACGTTTCTTGAAGCCAATATTTCTTCATCCCCAACAATCGTTTCAGCCTCACGTCGCCTGTACCATCAGTGTGCCCAGGATTTCTCTCTAGGAGGGATGAAACTTGAGATAATGTAAAGAACCAGATACCAAATAATAATTATACCAATTACATCAACAACAACAACAACAACAGCAATAATAATAATAATAATAATAATAATAATAATAATAATATAATAATAATAATAATAATAATAATAATAATAATAATAATAATAATAATAATAATAATTTGCCATATCCCACGTACAGTGGGAATCGATGATATGCGAAGCACGAATCAGAAATGTTGATATGTCACTTTAAAATCAGCCCAACGTTACGAGGTGGAGGTAAATGATGCTGCACATGACTTCCGTGTCATGGTTTATTTATTTATTTATTTATTTATTTATTTATTTATTTATTTATTTATTTATTTATTTATTTATTTTACTTACTACAGTACTGCCGGTCCAATCTTCAGACCTTAGGCAGGAGTGGGTACAAGTTAATGAAAAAAAGGTTACAATAAACACATAACAAGCATTGCGGTGATAATAACAGCAAAAGAAGAAGAGTACAACGAGTTCATACGAGCACAGCAGCGAGATATTTAAATAACTAGTGAAAACATATGGAAGAAAAAAAAAGCGTCATGGTTCATGTAAAACTATGTCAGAGCTATGTCCCATGGACCGAAGGGCCTGTAGATAGGATGATAGCGACGGGCATTCCACCACAGCTGAAGGGAAGGAATTCCAATTGGTTGCAGTTCTCGGAAAAAAAGAATACTGGAAAATGCTGGTGTGACAAGAGAACTCACTTACTTTTTTATTATGAAGGAACTGAATAGGCCGCCGGTGTGAGTTTTTTAGATATGTATTCTTTTTGATACCTAAGTGTCCATGATAAAGAAGGTAAAATAGTTTCATTCGTTCGCGGTATCGGCGATTAGCTAATTTTTCTAGCTCAGCCGTTTCTAGAAGAGATGTTACTGATGCCTCCCAGCTGTATTGATTAAAGATTAACCTATCTGATTTCTTCTGTATTTTTCCAATATTGAAATCTTTCTTTTTGTGTATGGATCACAAACAGCGGCACAATACTCCAGGAGTGGCCGAATAAATGTTTTATAGGCTAATATTTTAACTTTTGGAGAGGACGTACTCAAGCGCCTCCTTAAGTATACGAGTTTTTTCATTGCCTTTTTATGTATGTAGTCAATGTGGTCATTTCATTTAAGATCGTGAAAAATGATAACTCCCAGATACTTATAGTTAGTTACTACTTATCAAAACAGTAAGAAAACGTTATAGGGTGCTTTTTGCGACTAATTGTCTTTGTGACATGATTATCATGTTTGGATGTGTCGTTTACATTCGTCATCTATTCACGTCACGTGATACCAAATTTAGTATATGTGTAGCTAGCGAACCAGCCACGAGCACGCTATGAGCGTGGTATGTTGTCATGTTCTTACATGACACGCGTGGCAGGATTATCATGTTTGCACCAGTCATATACTTCGGCATCCATTGACGTCACGTAACACAAAATTCGGTGTATGTGGAGCTAGCGAAATGGCCGCGAGCGCATCACGATGGGCCAATGTAGCGTTGACACGCGCGCACGCTGGGCACAGCGACGCTACGTTAGCAAAACGCGAGCACTCTATAGTCTGACGCTAAGCGCGACCGACGCGACCAGCGTCCGTTGGCGCGGCCCGATGTCAACCAGCGCGAAATGCGACATGCTGCGTTTCGCGCTGACGTGTTACATGCACATGTAACATGTTACATGCATGCACTGCGTCTGCCTCTTTTCGTGACGGAGGGATGCCGGACGCGCTGAAACGCGCATGCGTCAAAGCAACGGAGCGTGGCGCGCGCCTGCGAGTATATGCAACACCACCTAGACTATCAATAGTCTAGGTGGTGTTGGTATGTGGCAGCACCGGCGCCTGGCGTCGCCGGCGTGAAGCGACGAAATGAACACCGGCGAGCACGCGCAACGCGTCACGTCGAAATGTATTGGCGGCTTGAATGTGGCATGTAGTCATGTTCTCACATGACATGCATCTCATGATTATCATGGTTGCACCAGTCACATACCTTTGTCATCCATTGTCGTCACGTAATACCAAATTTGGCATATGTGAAGCTAGCGAAAGACCGCGAGCGCATCATCAGTGTGGCATGTAGTCATGTTGTTACAAGACACGTATGTCGTGATTATCATGTTTGCACAAGTATCATACCTTCGTCATCCATTCCCGTCCCGTAATACCAAGCTTGGTATATGTGACGCTAGCAAAACGACCGCGAGCGCATCGTGAACGTGGCATGTAGTCATGTTGTTACATGACACGCATGTCATGATTTTTACTTTAAGGTCTGTCGCTTGTGTTCGCCAAGCAGTCATGCCATACCATACCAGTTTTGCAACATGCCATGTGAACGAAACCACCACAAGAGAATCAAGACCGTGAAATGTAAATCATAAAATTCATGGCACACATGTCAGCATTTTCATGCTACGAACAGTGAAATATGTTCTTCATACAGTCATGTTATGCCATACCAAGTTTGGTATTGATACCATTTTCGAAATGACCAGGAGAGCTAAAAGTCACAGGCGGCTAGATAGATAGATAGATAGATAGATAGATAGATAGATAGATAGATAGATAGATAGATAGATAGATACGCTCAATGTCGCCGAACTTCGCTAAGAAATGCTTCGCATTTAATAACACCGACACGAACACTATCCAATGTAATGATGATGCCAGCGATTTGCTTTTACCGCAAAACCTTGGAAAAACTTGAGAGGGCAAAAAAAAAAAAAAAACGTTCAATGAAGCAGTGCACGTATAAAAAATAAAATAAACGGCAAAACGAATAAGCCAAGGTGTTTCTGGTAAATACTTACCTTTGCTAGTTGTTCAGCTCCATTTAGGGAGAAGGGTGTTCGCGTGCCGGCCGTTCGATACAATACATTGCATGTATTGTATCGCTGTACTATTGTATATATTGTATCATGATAACTTGTGTTATTTTGTACATGCATGCCACGTCTGTCATGTAATTTGGAGTAGTGATGTGTTCACTACAACATAGTCATATTTGTCGTGGCACATAGGTGTGCCAATGTCTATGTGCCGCTTAATACTAGATTGGTATAAAATTTTCGTTTTGTGTACATATTGTAAATGAACTTTTTGCTAAAAGTAGGTAAATAAACACGTTCGTAGATAATAATAAAAAAATGCCACGCCTGCTTCACGCTGAAAGACGGAAACGACTGACGCATGTACGGAAACCCTCTGCTTTTCCTTCTCAGTCGATTGTATTGACATCCCGCTCGATGGCTTTCCGCACGCAACGTGGTTTCGCAGTGTCTCCGAGATCGATTTAGCATTAATAAAGCATCAGCCCGCCGCGTTGGTGTGGTGGTAACGGTGTCCAGCTGCTGACTCGAAGGTCGAGGGTTCGATAACGACCGCGGCGGTCACATTTCGATGGATGCGGGATGCTAGGGGCTCGTGTGCTGTGCAATGTCGCTGCGCGTTAATTCAACACCAGTTGGTCTGCATTTCCTGAGCCCCCCTCAACGACGTCCCTCAAGATCATTTAGTGGTTTTGGAAAGCAAAACTCTAGCAGGTATATTATTGCGATAGCAATTATATGGACACTCTTGGCTGGGTGCATTTCACCACCAGCGTCGGCGTGGGCGTCGACGTTGGCGTCGATGTCATGCACCGTATATGTATACGTATCTATATATATATGAAAACGCAAGAAAGAAAAAAAATATGACGGAAAAATTAAGACTCCGGCGCGCAGAATCGAACGTGGGGCCTCTGCGTCGTAAATGCGAAGCGATAACCATGCACTGAACCACCGAGAGGTACCTCCTTCAACGTCCAAATGGCAAGCTATTTAAATCTACGAGTGTTGAAGATTGGGCGAGTTGGTTCATCGTACTTGAACTGGTATAGCGCATTACGGTGAAGAAGAAACGGCCGAGCTGACCGACACGAGAGGACAGAGCGCTGGCACAAGAGGATAGCGCTCTGTCCTCTTGTGTCGGTCAGCTCGGCCGTTTCTTCTTCACCGTAATGCGCTATACCAGTTCAATTAAATCTACCATTACTGCTGTTGGTGGGCATATCAGGGGGGGGGGTTGAGAGGTAACTATCGTGTTTTCAGCATTATCAACAAGATGGCGCAGTGAGTGCGCGGCGACTCTCAACTTTCACGGGTACTTTTGGTACGCGTAGAGAGTAAGGGGGTGTGCGTTTGATCGTGCACCCTTATCTTGCAGTGGGGAGAATCGTACGTCTTGTCTAGCCTTTGAGCTTTGTCGGAACAATTCTGTTGTACAGTTACCGGGCGCACAAAGGTCACTGCAATCGTTGCACAGCCTCCGTTTGCGAAAAGGGCGCACTTCTCAGACACAGCGCACTAACAACTGAGACGCTTATTCGCGTTAATCTGTACCTGTGAGTACGTTTCGCGCGTCATTTGTGCATGAGAAACGCACAAACGTTTCGATATGCTTGCCATTCTGCGCGTGACCTTTCAATTTGTTGCTATCGCATTCATTGCTTCGCCTTTGCGGCAAAGTCAGTACTTTTTTTTTTGACCAAACAACGATGTCATATGATGACTTGAGCATGCGATGTCAGGTGAATGTGACGAAATAATGACGTCACAAACTTTGAAAACCTGGGGCGTCGTAGGGTGACACCATTCACTGGTGTGGACGCCTCCGACGAACACTCTTCGCGTTTAAAGAGGTACATCCAAGGCTTTCTTTGCCTTAAAAAACCACTCTCTTTCAGCGCCGCCGAGAAGGTTGTCGTGGTCGTACTGGCCGTAGTGTTCTTCCTGTGGTCGACCAGGAGGGCTGTCTTCTTCAAGGGCTGGGCCAACTGGTTCCACATGAGGTGAGCCTTTTTTTGTTTTTTCGCCAGTGCGAAGTTGAATTGGTGTGTTTTGTCGTCCGAGAGTACAACCAACGCCAAGAGGGTGATACAAGGAGGGCAGAACTGGACACCTGTGCTGAATGTCAACTAAAACCTACGTTCTGAGTCGTGCGTCATTGACATATCGAAAGGACAATGCTGCTGAGCCCCTTGAAAAATAATTCTCTCATGGAAAGAGCTCGAAAGATGGTAAAAATTTATGAAAATGAACAAATAAACTGTTTGCATTTTTCGATTTTATGTGTTTCACCAGTCTTGTGTTCTTTACCATATCTTGCGTTCTCTGCCCCTAAAAACGCGTGTTACTTAAAAAGTGCTTCGAAGTAGCATCGTGAATTTACCATGAGTTTCCTTGTTTGACTGGTCAGAAAAGAGTAATTTGTTGCCTGTATAGCTTCGCATTACTCCATCCGGTGGGCATAAAAAATCCTGCAATGACGGCTCAAGAGGAATTTAAATCAGTTTAGGGCACGATAAAGGCTTGTATTAAACAATTGGCAGAATATCCACGGAGTGATGGATGGAGAGTGGGGCGAAGCATTCGTCCGTCCATTCGTTCTTGCTTCCGTCCGTCCATGCGTCCGTCTGTGTGACCGTTCATGCGTCCATCCACCCGTCCGTGCGCGCGTCTGTTCGTGCGTTCGTCTCTGCGTTCGTCCATGCATCCGCCCCTGCGTCCGTTCATGCGTCCATCCGTGCATCTGTCTGTGCGTCCGTTCGTCTATCTATTCAACACTCCAAGTACCACCATCTCGCATCTTTTCATCATATATTCCCCATATAGAAGCACCGCCATCCAGCGGACATTTCAAGGACTAAACGAGAGGTGGCACACGCAGACTTTTTTACGGCTTGTGCTTCGGGTCTACTTCCCACCTTTAACCACCTCGAGTTTATGGTATATACTAGTTCATTGTATTCATGACACAGCGGCTCAACGCTCGCTAAATCTTTCTAAATCTAAGGAGGTTATACCCAGCGAGTATAACGTAGCAACCCCTTCTTGTCAGATAGTACTCAATGTACATGCCAATGACTGCTAATGTGGATCGCAGCGTGCGCTTTAACTAAAAGCCGAATGCTCCTGTCTCTCATTTCCCATTAGCAGCCATTGGCATGTATATTGAGCATTATTTTTTATTGTTCAACAACGCACCGAAGAAATCTCTCACCGGCACTACCTTGGAAGTCAAAATGTTATACTTGTTACACACTACAACGCTTACGAGGGACGAACAGGTGGCGTTATAAAGAGCGGCGCACCTAAAAAAAGAAAAAAATTAACGATTTAGACTAATATGTACTCTACTGAGCTGTGTTTGGAAAAAAAACTGTTAAAACTATTTAGAGTACTTATTACACTACTATGGGTGAGCATAAATCCGTCCATGTGTTTAGGGAAAGTGTTTGACGATTCAGAGTACTTCGTACTCTACTATGGGAGAGCAGGAAGCTGTCCTGGACGCTGACTATGCTTGTAGAAAGGGGGTAAACAATTTAATGTACCTGGTACTCTACTATGGGAGAGCACTAGCCTGGGGGGGGGGGGGTAGAAAAAGGAGGTAACGATTTAGAGCACAGGGTACTCTACTATGGGAGAGTTTAAAGCCGTTCACTGGTTACAAAACCTTGATGACATCCGGTTTCGTTCACCGATGGGGGGGGGGCGGCTAGAAAAAGGGGGTAACGATTTAGAGCACAGGGTACTCTACTATGGGAGAGCTTAAAGCCGTCCCAGACGCAGAACTTTCAGACAGTGTGCCTGTCTTTGACACCCGATGTCCTGGGGGGGGGGGGGTAACGATTTAGAGCACAGCGTGTGTTTAGAAAAATTTTTCAACGATTTAGAGTACATCGTACTCTACTATGGGAGAGCATAATGCCGTCCCGACTACAACCCACAATGCGGGGAAAACTTCTTTTTATATTGAGAACATCGCACTTTACTACAACGAAAAACGCGCAAATAACCCCGCACACATTCGGCTTTTTGCGCGCCTTCTTGCTCGAAAACCCCGATATTAGCTCTAGTTTCAAGTGATAGCTTTACAAAGCTGCCATCAAATATACGGACGAATTATCGCTCTCTTTAACTAAAATATCTGCGTTCGTGAGCTGTCGCACAAAACGTTTTTATGAAACAGCGACGAAATTAAATTGCTGATCGAAACAGCGGGTTACTTTGGTACAAGAACCCCGGCTTTTTCATAAGCCCGCCGCGGTGAAGCAGTGGGCATGTTGCTCAGCTGCTCAGCCGGAGCTCGTGGGTTCACTCCCGATTGTGGGGGCCACATTACGACGGCGGTGAAATGGTTGAGGGCCGTGTACTGCGCTATGTTAGTGCAGGTTAAAGAAGACCGGATGGTCAAATTTCCGGAGCCTTCCACTGCGCCCTATCTCATAATCATATCGTCGTTGTGGTACCTGAAACTCCAAATAATGTTATTGCAGCAAAGTGTGTTATGAGATCCCGACAAGGGCTGCTTCGGGCGCCGTAGTTGTCCGCTTCCACCAAGAAGGTTGGCCGCCGCCGCCGGTGTCCTCAGCCACTATCGCGCGAAATTAGAAAATAACTAGGTATGAAAATACAGAGAGCATAATGGAATTATTCCCGGGCCCTCTTCATGGCAGCTCAGTACTCTACCACTGAGCTACACCGATGCTTGAAACGCCGTGGGAAACTGACCATGCAGGCTTCATGTCAGGTTAGAATGACGTTAACACGCGCAATAAAGTGTCTTTTTTTTTTCAGAAGAGCAAAGTAACAACCAGGCGTTACACAATGCGTATTGCTTAACAAGTGGTCGTTGAATAGTCCAACCCGTTAACAAAAAACCTCAAACTCAATTCTTCATCCTCGTCAGCCGCAGCAATAACAAAGTGTGCAAATGCCTTGCAAGTGTGTAACGGGTACCATGCTTTTCTAAAGAAAAGCGAACCGTGGCATAGTGAACGCTTCCGCACTACAGAGCAATTGGGATTATTTATGGGGTAGCGGGTACCTTTCAAGTGCGCTTGTAGTCGTTGCACCAATGAAGAGCATTAAAATAAAAGGCTCGATAAAGGCCACTTTTCCAGCTTTCGCTGTGACGGTGCTGCGCGTTCCACGCAGATCTGGCGGTTTTATGTTCTTATCAATGAGAAGGTGGCTGTTAAGGAGGGACGTTCTCCTAGGTTAACGCGTGCGATGTAAGCTGAATGATGTGCTAAAGCGAACAATTAAGCAGTTGCTAACACCAAACTTTAAGCACTTAGCCGAGCGGTGGTTTTCTCGCATTTACCGATAAGCGCTGATTGCATGGGGACATGGAGCACTGAAACAGGCTCTATAGAGGCTCGTTTCACTCTAGAAAGAGTTACACTTTACTTTTCAACACATAAAAGTAAAACGTAAGATGGAAGATGGGATGTTTCGACTTAAATTCTACTACTTGTTATGTCTGGGTCATCCTTCCTTGACGACGTTGAGGTACTTGTCGGGATATAGGTGGCTATAGCACGTGCTATAAAACCTCTTTGCTTATTCATGAAAAACTCTTATTGAAACTAGCTGGGGATACTAAGCGCCTGCTCTGTTCCATACCGAACTATCGTTATAGCACAATCTTGGTTCCACTGTGTTATCAATCATAGGTAAAATGACGCAAAACAAATCCGTAACGTATGTGTCCTTATATCAGAGTCTGCTCTACACCTCGTATGTTGGCTTAAAGTACGTTGCTGCGCTTTTTTCCCGAATCATCGGAATAAGTATATCTGAAAGCTTTATCGCCATTGCGCCGTTCCCGAGAAAAGTGCGGTTTATGTTTCAACGTGCAACACAATTTTTCGTTCACGTCAAGCTGTGGATACGCAATTCTATTACCACAGTGTTCTTGTGCGTAAACATGCACAATTAGAAGGAGCGGGGGTGGACAAGACGAACACGGGCGATGGCATCTTATCCTGCTTGCCCCACATTGAAATATTCGTTGTGGACAGGGGCGCTATTTCTGTTTTGCAACGCTTATTTTTTTGCAAGCCACGCAGGGAAACTCATATATATCTCGCTCGAAATGTAAACGGAGAGGCTTGGAAGACATTGTAGCCATATACCATCGGAATGTGATTCGGTTTACCAGCTGTTCTTCGGTATCCTTCATGTATATTTCGCAGCCCCAATTGGCGCCGTATTTTAGGTTTACGTCATATGGGTCCGTAAAATACAGTAGTCGACACCAGAATTGCAATGTCTTATGTGCCTTGTACGTGGCTCCTACTTGTTTCAAGCCAGTTATGCTGGATTAAAATAAAATGCAGGAGTGCTACAGCACAACACATATGCTAGTCGCTTTTCGTGAAATTGTTTGACTGCGCAAATGACTGCGCTACGCACAGACTTCCTTGGTTGATACCACACCGGAAAAGCACTTGACCATAATAATTGTGGAGTTGGATTTGTTGTGGCGAATTATGTTAAGTAATCTGAAATTTACGTTCCAGCAACCACAAAACATATATTGTGTAGTCTGTGAAAGTGAGCCTGAAGTTTCGTTTTGTGACCGAAGCATGGAGGTCATGCCCTTGGGAAAGGATCTATTGCGAAGACGGGTCCGCGCAAACATGAACTTTGTACGGAATACGCAGTGCTGTGGACGACACGTCCGTTGCGTTCATGGCCGTGGCGGTGCTGTTCGCGGTGCCCATGTCAAGCGACAACCTGCAGAAGCGCATCCTCTCTTGGAGCGTAGTTAAACACAAGATGGCGTGGGGTATGCTGCTCACCTTCGGTGGAGGGCTCGCCCTTGGAGTGGCCAGCGAGGTACGTCCACGGGTGGTTGCATGCGTGAAGAGACGCTGCAATGATAGAAACTATCTTTTTAGGGGTGAATCACCTTGAAACCGCACGATGTCTCTCCGTCCACAAACCACCACCCGAGAAGATGTAGAAAACTAAGCATCCGTGAACAAAAAAAAAAAATGGTTTTAAAAGGCTGTTAACCAGAACAAACAAAATAAAAGGACACAGAACCGGAAAAATGCCGAAATTTAACCAACCATTCATCCAAGCATATGACAGAACAAAGTGTTAACAAGAACAAAATAAAAAGCTGTTAGCCAGAACAAAATAGAAGGCCACAATTTATGATCTCATGCACACTGCTTCGCTCAATAATCAGCATTCATTTCTTGAATATGCAAGATTTCTTTTTTGCTTACCAGCCAAACGACGGAAATGGCAGGGGTAGAAGACACTGCATATCCAAAACTAAACAGGAAATCTTGACAATAAGGATATGCCGAACAACAATAATCGCTGTTTTTTTACGTACCAATCCTAACTCAGCATCATCATGCTCAGATACTGGAAGCGCCTGTAAAACGCTCTGTCAAACAACTTCCAACAAAAATAAAAAATTAATTCTTATTCTGGCAGTGTCGCTAACAATTCCTGTAAACCGTTTGTATATACCACGATAATATGCATTCATATACCGGGCTGCTATGGCTTTCTGAATTACAGTTGAAGTTAGACTCCTGTCCGGAGTACCTGCTTTTCGTCGTTCTTTTTTGTTGTTTTTTTGCTCAGCCAGGCTATGTGTGTTTGAAAAATGCCCGAAATAAAAAAGTAAGAGTTTTATCGCATCACATTTCTATATACACGGCAGCAGCAAGCGTCGGACTTTTGACGGTGGTGAAATAAAAAAAAACATTTTTTACACAAGCAGAAGGGTACATGATAACATATGAAACGGGATCAAAGGTGTGGAACGCCGCGCCAATGGAAGGACGCATTCCAACATGGAACATAACTGTTTATTAGCGTGGTCACGGCAGCGCAGCGAGCATGCCGAGGCTGTGCTCGAATGGTTCACGGAACAACGATTCTCTTCCGAGTTTGGCAGCTTGGGTTCATAGCCAACGATGATGGCGTAGGCCTTCGGTGGCGCTGTTCCTTATCAGACGCGTGTTGTAGCCAAGGAGGATTAAAGATAATTTTTTAAAATCCTCCTTGGTTGCAGCGTGCGACTGAGTCACGCCGGCTGTGCCAGTTTGTGCGCAGTGTGTCCCCGCAAAGGTAATCAACAGCATTCTGCTTTGCGACACTTCCCTGTGAATTGGGCAGTTTTCCAAAGCTGCACCCCAAACCTTCCGATAGAGGCGGAAATGTTGTAGGCCCGTGTGCTCAGATTTGGGTGCACGCTAAAGAACCCCAGATGGTCGAAATTTCCGGAGCCCTCCACTATGGAGTCTCTCATAATCATATGGTGGTTTTGGGACGTTAAACCCCACAAATCAATCATCAATGCACCCCAAAGCTTATTTATTATGGATGCAGGCGTTCAATACCTCGGCTCTCAGCTTTCATTGAAATTGAGTAAAACTTATAACAGCCGACCCCGGTCCCTGTCGAAGTAAACAAATTACGTCATTTTTCTTCCTTTCAACAATCACTTCAACCAACCCCACCGACCCCTCACCTCCTCTCCCCCCTCAAAAAAAGAAAGAAAGAGCCAGCTGTATGTAACCTATGTCGATGACCAACAGGCAGCCTCACCACTCACGAACAATAATGAACGCTCTTGTCTAGAGTGATGTCGTGAGTTTACTTCCCAATCTAGGTTACTATGATTTCGATGACTACCGTGGAAATGCAACAGCTACAAAAATCGGCATTTTGCCTGTTCATACTGTGCTGCTAATATTAAAGTGCTGCCCACTTATTATTGTCCAGTGGAAGATATGTATATGATGGCGCCCCTTCGATGGGACAGTGCTAGCATTAGCGAAGGGGTAAGTATAGCGAAAATCTTACTCTGACAAAGCAGGACCCGTATAATGGCAGAAGTACACTGATATTTGGCGTGGTACATAGAAAAACACACCATGCACATTTGCAAACATCCAGCGAATGGCCATGCCAGTCAAATTGCTTGGAGTGCAGCCACACCACTACAAGAGTAGTAAACATATAACCAATGCCGTGTGCGGAGAAAAGCAGCAGCTGTGAAAAGCCTGCCTTCTTCTCGCTTTTCAGCAGCACTCGCTTGTAATTGCTACTCGTAAGGTGTATTTAGGATGAGCACCTCCGTCGGGGGTGTAGCTCAGATGTAAATAAAGAAAAAAAAAGGGTGTAGCTCAAATGGTAGAGCGCTCGCTTAGCATGCGATAGGTACTGGGATCGATACCCAGCACCTCCACTCATTTATTTTTCTCTTTTTTTCTTCATTTTTTTAACAATTGGCAGCACGAGAATGAACGAACGACGCATGCGAGGAAAAGCGGAAGCAGCAGGAAAACCTGTCTTCTTCTCGCTTTTCGGCAGCACTCGCTTGTAATTGCTACTCGGAAGGTGTGTTTAAGGTGCGTACCTCCGTCGGGGGTGTAGCTCAGATGGTAGAGCGCTCGCTTAGCATGCGAGAGGTACTGGGATCGATACCCAGCACCTCCACTCATTTATTTTCTCTTGTTTTTCTTTATTTTTTTAATAATTGGCAGCACGAGAATGAACGAACGATGCATGCGAGGAAAAACTGAACCGGCAGGAAAACCTGTCTTCTTCTCGCTTTTCGGCAGCACTCGCTTGTAATTGCTACTCGGAAGGTGTGTTTAAGGTGCGTACCTCCGTCGGGGGTGTAGCTCAGATGGTAGAGCGCTCGCTTAGCATGCGAGAGGTACTGGGATCGATACCCAGCACCTCCATTATTTTATTTTTCTCTTTTCTTTCTTTATTTTTTTAACAATTGGCAGCACGAGAATGAACGAACGACGCATGCGAGGAAAAGCGGAAGCAGCAGGAAAACCTGTCTTCTTCTCGCTTTTCGGCAGCACTCGCTTGTAATTGCTACTCGGAAGGTGTGTTTAAGGTGCGTACCTCCGTCGGGGGTGTAGCTCAGATGGTAGAGCGCTCGCTTAGCATGCGAGAGGTACTGGGATCGATACCCAGCACCTCCACTCATTTATTTTCTCTTGTTTTTCTTTATTTTTTTAATAATTGGCAGCACGAGAATGAACGAACGATGCATGCGAGGAAAAACTGAACCGGCAGGAAAACCTGTCTTCTTCTCGCTTTTCGGCAGCACTCGCTTGTAATTGCTACTCGGAAGGTGTGTTTAAGGTGCGTACCTCCGTCGGGGGTGTAGCTCAGATGGTAGAGCGCTCGCTTAGCATGCGAGAGGTACTGGGATCGATACCCAGCACCTCCACTCATTTATTTTCTCTTGTTTTTCTTATTTTTTTAATAATTGGCAGCACGAGAATAGAATGAACGAACGATGCATGCGAGGAAAAACTGAACCGGCAGGAAAACCTGTCTTCTTCTCGCTTTTCGGCAGCACTCGCTTGTAATTGCTACTCGGAAGGTGTGTTTAAGGTGCGTACCTCCGTCGGGGGTGTAGCTCAGATGGTAGAGCGCTCGCTTAGCATGCGAGAGGTACTGGGATCGATACCCAGCACCTCCACTCATTTATTTTCTCTTGTTTTTCTTTATTTTTTTAATAATTGGCAGCACGAGAATGAACGAACGATGCATGCGAGGAAAAACTGAACCGGCAGGAAAACCTGTCTTCTTCTCGCTTTTCGGCAGCACTCGCTTGTAATTGCTACTCGGAAGGTGTGTTTAAGGTGCGTACCTCCGTCGGGGGTGTAGCTCAGATGGTAGAGCGCTCGCTTAGCATGCGAGAGGTACTGGGATCGATACCCAGCACCTCCACTTATTTATTTTTCTCTTTTCTTTCTTTATTTTTTTAACAATTGGCACCACGAGAATGAACGAACGACGCATGCGAGGAAAAGCGGAAGCAGCAGGAAAACCTGTTTTCTTCTCGCTTTTTGTCAGCACTTGCGTGCAATCTCCACTCGCAAGGTGTGTCTAGGATGCGCACCTCCGTCGGGGGTGTAGCTCAGGTAGTAGAGCGCTCGCCTAGCATGCCAGAGGTACTGGGATCGATACCCAGCACCTCCAAACTCTTTTATTTTTCTTATAATAAATCCCCACTCGTGCCGCTAAATAGCAGCACGAGTGTGAACCAATCCTGTATGTGATGCAGGTGCTACAGGAGGACAATTATTCTGTGTGTCCAAATTTTATACGCGTTGGGTTGCGCTCGATTGTTGCGTTTCTCCTCCGTTTTAGTCGATGTTAGCGTGCACGAAACTTTTCCTATCGAAGGCAGCTCTTATAAGGTCGTACGTAACTGTTAGTGCAGTTAAACCTGATTAATATGCCCGAAGTGGCCGATCCCGTGGATTTACAGCGCTGCGTATATTTTTGAAAAATATGCTAGTTTTTAATTTTTTTTTTCATTTCCAACGAGCACTGTCACTCTGCGAAGGCAAGCAGAACTTGCTTCTATGAACGCTAAGTCTAATTTTTAAACCAAGGTTTCTTTACTCGTAAGCAAAAGTTAGCCGAGATGGGAGTTTCTCCAGCACATGAGCCCACAAAACTCCCCTGCCCCAATTATTTACTCCCTGGTAGGGAGTGAACTCGGCACATGTCATCGTAAAACGCCCCCTCCTTAATCACAGAGTTTATGAACGACATGACCTTGTTAAACTCCCCAGGGAGTTTCAGGTCACGTGGTTACAAACTCCCTATAGGAGCTTTAAAAACCCTCTTTGGGCGTGACGTGTGTGTGTGTGTGTGTGTGTGTGTGTGTGTGTGTGTGTGTGTGTGTGTGTGTGTACGGGCATATGTTTGCACGTCGGTGTGAAACACATGTGCTTTGTGTGGCTAGCCGTGTAAGCATCTGTCAACAGCCAACGAAATTATCAGTGCAGCGAAGAATAGCAACGACCGGTTGGTATTTACTGGGAACATTTCAATATATTTCGCACCGTTAAACCACGCTGCACATCGGTCCGATTCCTCAACGAAACGTCGTGAATGCCGCGCTTCAAAGGGCCGAGTAACAAAAAAACTTCGAAGAATAAATTAATGGTAGCAAAAGTAAGCTGTTACGATCGTCAGCGGCTGCTCCTGGAGTTTCACCATCAGAAACTTCGAAGTGGTCTGAAGTAGGCTTCGCTCGACTACGGCAGGCTGGCCGGCAACCGGTCTGAGAGTTGCGCCAGCGACGCGCTCGCCCCGTCTCCGCCGATAGTGGCTTCTCGGAGTGTCACCGGTATTTCACCGGCTGTAACATCTAAGTGGTAAGAAGGCCTCGCTATGCCGTCGGTATTAAGCCGGCATCGTATCGAACTCGCAATGCGCGCCGGCCACCGCGGCAAGCGCTACGAGCTAGCACCGACCACCGGCGATGCAAAGAATGTGTTTCACAAAAAATGAAGGCTGCTGGGATGTATAACAGTCTTCTGCGCCTTGCGACCGCAGCTGTCAATGACTAACTACAAGGCGAGCGCCGAACGAGGCGGAGTACGATCGTCAGCGATTGCACCGTAAAACTTCGAAGCGGTTCGAAGTAGGCTTCGCTCGACTACGGCAGACTGGCCGGCAACCGGTCTAAGAGTTGCACCGGCGACGCGCTCGCCCCGTCTCCGCCGATAGTGGCTTCTCGGAGTGTCACCGGTATTTCACCGGCTGTAACATCTAAGTGGTAAGAAGGCCTCGCTATGCCGTCGGTATCAAGCCGGCATCGTATCGAACTCGCACTGCGCACCGGCCGCCGTGGCGAGCTCTGCGAGGTATACATGCAATGCATGCGAGCAAAGGGAACAGCGGCTGCGAACCGTCTCATTCGTTTAAGTCTATCGCTCCGTAGCTTAAACTGCGTGGATAGCGGACACCTACCTCTGTGCATGGGAAAAACGAGACGTAAACTGCACATCAGCAAGCATTTTGTGATCGCCAGCTGTCATTCATCGAATCACCGTGCTACAGTATAACCGTGCCGTACTCGTGAGTGAGGCCTAGTCGTCGAACGCGGTAGCGGCGGTCTACCTCGGTTCATCGCTGGAGCTGCTAAATGTGCCTCGTTAATGTGTTCATTCAAGGCCGCGCGCACTTTGTGTATGATTCCGTGCATTTTACGGGTCCACAAACAGTACTGCTAATGCAAATTCAGCCCGTACGACAGAGCGTCAACTGATGAAACTTTTTCGCTATAGTAAAAAAAATAATAAATATTAGGCAGGCTTAGGATAAAAGGCATGTGTGTTGAAGTGCTTACATCAGACCACCGCAAGTTCATACTTACGCCCTGCGTATTTATTGCCTAATTAACAGCAAAAAAAGGCTTTCACCAGGGCGACATGGGAGGTAAAAATGTGGTGCATATATATATACCCGGTGACTATATGGTAGGTGTGTACTGCGTGTGGCAAGCTGTGGTGAGTGCGAGTGTTGTGGTATAATGTGAACCTTGTGATAATGTTTGTGTATTGTAATCATTGTTGTGCTCATTAAATGTTATGTAATTAAAGTTACGCTAGCGCATGGTACGGCTGCTGACGTAATTTTTTTCTTTGTCGATGCAAAAAGTTTACTCCCATACTGACCTGAAAAAGTTCCCCAATGGATGTAAATAAAAAGCCCCCTGGCACCATGCAAAAACCCCCTACGGATGGGGAGTAAATGTTTTACTCCCAACGGAGGGGTTTATAAAACTCCCATCTGGGTGTGCGCTAGAGGACAAGGTCATTTACTCCCATCTCGGCTTATTTCTGTTTACAGTGATAGGTTAGCACACTCACACGTGCGTGAGCTCTGTGCTGTAATTTCTTGCTTGTTGCACCCGCGCGTGTGCATGTGTTTTTAAATCAGTGAACGGGTGATCTTTGAAACTCGTTTGTTTATTGATTGCGGGAGTGGGATTACATCTGCTAACAGGTGTACGCTGGCGTTTATGTGATGCTGCATTGTACGCGCGCTTGCTTTATGCGAGGTTATGAAGGGTACTGATTGTGGGCTTTGTCTTTGTCATTATGAAAGGGCTTGTAGCGATGAGCAACAGGTAATGGGGTCAAATTGAAGGAAGAAACTAAAGATATGACAAAGCCCGTTTTTGCTGAAGAAACACTTGTTTTTTATTGTATGGTCACTTTAAAGTGCGTGTTTAGAGAGCGAGAGAAAGAGAGATATAACTTTATTGTGTTGAAAAAAAAGGGGGGGGGGGGGTTAGGAGCCATAGATGGGTGGGGCTTCATGTTCAAGGCTCCACTGGCTTGCGCCGCCTGCCGGATACGGTCAAGGAGTGCTAGTTGCACCTCCGGGTTAGAGCTAGCGAGGAGTGCCTCCCATTGCTCCAAAGAGTTTTCCATTCTATACATACGCTGTAAGCGATCGAGTTCATTTGGCCGTTTAGCACAACTCCACGAGATATGGTAAAGGGTCGGTGGCGAGTCGCGACACCACGGACAATCGCGCCAATACAAAGTTGGATGAATTTTGTGCAGTCGTAATAAATTTGGATAAACTCCCGTTTGAATTTTACGGAGGTCTGTGGCGTCTTCCCCTTTAAGAGATTTGGGGGCGGCACCATATTTCTGCCGCGTGCATCGCTGGTGAGCAAGAAGCTCTCGCGGAGCCATCCGAGCCGGGTCGTTTTCCTCCTCCTCGCGAAAGCCGTCGTTGCTGGGTGGTGGTAACAGCGAGAAAGGCTGCTGCTCCGCTCGGTTCGTGAGCGCTCGAGCTAGAGCGTCCGCCCTCTCGTTACCCTCTAGGCCTGCATGTCCCGGGCACCAGACCAACCTATAAGTGATGCTCAATTCGCCACCTAAAAATTTGCAAATGTTCAGTGGGAGGTAGCCTTTCGTGAATAGCCGGCACGCCTCTTGCGAATCCGAGAGTATAGTGATGTACGTCTGGCCGCCGTTGCGCTCTCGACTTTTAATCGCCAATGAGATGGCGAAACACTCGGCCTTCGTGATCGATGTAGTGTACAGTGATGCGCTGGACGCCATGCTTCTCGTGTCGCTGCTTACCATTGTGATGACGCGGCGCTTCCAGTTATACCTGGAAGCGTCAACGTATAGCCCGTTCCGGTAAATTTGTATGTGTTGCGAAACAAATTGACGCCATCCGGGTAGGATACGGTGAGAAACGTGTACTCCGAACGTGTTTAGCACAGTATTGGGTTGCGAATCTCGATGTTCACCGATCTCACCAATCCACGCATGCTAGCAAAAATGTCACGCCTTTGTTATTAGCGACGCAAACAGCAATTGAATATATAAGTGAACTGGCTAAAAGATGCGTGATTGAGCGCAAAAAAAGACACCTCTAGTTTTTTGCATAGAACGAATAAAAATAGGGAAATCACATGTGCTCTTTGTAGCATGTAACCTGACACTAAGTCGTATTCATGTACGTTTATAGCTGTGACATTGTGAATACTTTCTACTCTACATAATTATATAACGTTCCTGTCATTCAAAATGTTTTTCATGTTGAATTATTCGACACACTAAACCATTTAGAAGGGTCCCATCTGTCACCATATTGTGAGTAGTTTCCCCTATAAATATTAAAATTGGAAGTGGTGCCTCAGGCAAAGATTTCATCAAGACTCTAAGGCATACTAGGGACATATTTTTGTTATAGCGTAGTATTTTATACGAGTTTGTCATTCGCCGATGAACCTCCATTTCTTTTTTGTCCAAATCGCGGGCAGATTTAAGCATCGGTGTGTGCACCGGCTAACCATGGGAAGGAGGGGGGGGGGAGGGGCACTAATTCTGGCCAGTACCTTTACTCAGTCGGACCTTTGAGGTCATTCTTAATGCGAAGTCTTATGGCTAAGCATATTTTTTGAATATGAGAAGTGAGAACCTTTTATGGGGCATTCGAAAAATTCTTACTTCCCGCATTCCACCCCATCCCTCCTTCTGAAAACCATGGACCAATGGGAGGTCGTTGTGAGGAGAACGTCATCGTTTTGTTTGCATTTTTGCCCCCAAGACGGAGCTTGTATTCTTTCGGGATCTACAAAGAGAGGAGGCGGGAAGAGTTGCTCAAAAAGTGCCCTCCCCCTTACCTAACGGAGGCCCCTGCACACGCCTACGGTTATATCTATTTCCCAAAGTGAATAAAAAAAGAATGAGATAATTGATGAATAAACGACAACTGTATTCACGCATTAAACCTATGTGCAGATCACGCAGCTCTCCGCAGAGTTCGTGGTTGTGATCGAGAGTCTGAACATCCAGACGCCGCTGCAAATGCAGGTTCTCATCTCGCTCGGTGCGGCGACGCTCACGGAGTTCACGCCCAACGACGCAGCCGCCACAATGCTGCTGCCCGTCGTGATCTCCTTGGTACGCATGTGTATGCGATCTATACTCCAACAAAATACACGAAGTGCGGCTACGTGCTTAAGCTACCGGCACTGTAATGGCGTGCGGTTTTACAGCGAAAGCTGTTATGAGATCACAGCAACAGTCACGCGCGGTGCCGTAGTTGTCCGCCGCCGCCGCTGCCGGTGTCCGTAACCACTATCGCACGAAAAAAAAATCTTTGTAAATAAAAACACCAAGGGTACAGGGAGATTCGAACCCGGGCACCCTGCGTGCCAGCCCAGTATTATATACCGCAGAGCCACACCGAAGCTTGAAACTTCGTTGCAATATTGCCTTAGGCAGGCTTGATGTCGGGAAAGGAATCGCTTTAGTGAGAGTAATAAAGTGTTTTAGAACAGCAGAAGCACAAGCAGGCGTCACACAATGCGAGTTGCGTAACGAGGGGGTCGTACAATGCTCCAACCTAGAGTGCCTCAATGCTAGCTCCTCCGAGGCACCCTATTCCAACGCAATATAGAAGCTTCTTGTTCATCACCTATTAACTGTGCCACACACCCACTTCAGGCATAACTCTTCATCGTCATGAGCCACTGCATAAAAAAATTTAACAGAACTCCTTGCAAGTGTGTAGCAAATACTACACTTCTCCGAAGAATGACGAAGGATAGCCTAGTGAATGCCGGCCTACTACCCAAAAATTAGAATATTTTATGGCGAAGTTTGTACCAAGCGAGTGTGCTTGTAGCAGTTACCCAAACAGTGCTCAGAAAAAATTGATTCACTGATATGTAGGATTTAACGTTCCAAAACCACCATATGATTATGAAAGACGCCGTAGTTTAGCGCTCCTGATATTTCGACCACCTGGGGTTCTTTAACGTTCCACCAAATCTGAGCACATGGGCCTACACCATTTTCGCCTCCGCGAAAAATGCAGCCACCACAGCCGGGATTCGATCCCGGGACCTGCAGGTCAGCAGCCGAGTACCTCAACCGCTAGGCCACCACGTCAGGGCAGGGTTCAGAAGAGGCTCCGAAAGACCGCTCTTCTATAGCTTTTGCCGTGACTGTGCTGTGCATTCCACGCAGGCCTGGCGGTTTTCAGGGCCGAAGCTCCTTAAGCTGTGGGTCGTGCGTCCATGATGTATGTAGTAGTAGGTAGGCACCTCCACGGCCGGACTAGAGGAGCGGCACGCGTGCGCTCATTTGAATTGAGGAGCAAACCCGCGCACGTTAATGATAACTAAAAAAGATAGTTGTTTTTGATAAAATAACCTACATAGACGAGTATCGGGGACTTAAGAGTGAAAATGATCACTGTAAGATGCGTTGGTGTAAAATGCATCTGCCTTTTTATTTTCCCATTCAAAGGCCTGCAAGCTCAGGCTGAACCCTTTGTACCTGGTGTTCCCGGTGTGCCTGTCAGTGACGCAGGCATGCATCTTTCCGGCATCCTCCTCGGTCATCGCCATTATCTGCGATGAGGGACACGTCACTACTAAGGACTTGGTACGTGCCTTGATCAGTGACTCCTTACAGAGAAACTCTATTGTAGTGTAGTTGTAAGCATTACTTACAGTATGCCCGCAGGGATTATTATTATATCAAAATCCTAGCGTCAACAGAACTAGAGGGGGGATTTAGCTGAATGCATAAGCGAGATCTCAAGATAAAGAAGCGAGAAGAATAGATGGCTTGCACTGACGTCACTAATATAGTCACGTTTAAGCAACATATGGTGGGATGCGAACTTTTTGATTAAGCGTCCGTGTCATCAGTTCCCCACCTGCTGCCGGGTTTCTAATTCGTTACTCATGCACAGGCGCCCAGTAACGTTCCAGTGTTATGATAAGAATGCAGATCAGTCAACGCGTGATTCTGAGGCTTTAACGTCATCACTGCCGCCATGTTGTAGCCATACTGCGTATACATGACGTCACGTGCGAGCAATTGATCAATAATAACAAGAGCAAAGTAAATAACAGAGTAAACAAAAAATATGTGCAGCTTCAAGTGACGTAACGTCGTGAAGGGTGATGAATGATCTTCGTGCCTTTCCTCCGCTTTTGCCTCAGCTCGGTGCACTGTATTTTCAATTAATTCGGAAGTTCCGCCTCCTCAGCAGCACCACTTGGGCACGAGCATGTGCAACATTGAGCACCGTCAATCGCGATTCTGCTCTCTCCACCTCCCCAGGAGTTGTTCGGAGGATTTCAAGCTGAACGGTTGTGCCACCCGCGATTTCCGGTGCCAGCGTAGCTCTCGGCGACTGGTCCTCATACTTTTCCGACTAGCACCAACTTTCCTATCTCTTTATTTTTCTGCCACTTGGCTGTCCTATTTCTTTATCTATATATTTCCACTATCTTTTTTATCCCTCCTTCCCCCTTCCCCTACAAGGCACTTCACCGTGTCGCCCGAGAGGCAGACAGAAATCAGGTGCCTTTTTCCCCTTCTCAAAAACCACTCATTCATTCATGCATTCGTTCATTCCTCTCCACATCTCCTGCTTCGCTGCTGCCATAGCTTCACCTTTGCTTTCCTCCCATTTACCCAACAACCCATTCTCCACGTTGCTACCCTTGTTCCACTAGGCTCGGTGCGCCACACTAGGCTTACATCTCACCCACTTGACTCTACCCACGATTTCCCTATGGTGAGGCTTCATCCTCGAAGCTCTCTAAGAGAGTGCGGATGACGAATGCCCAGGGTTATTGCCTCTTACTTATACAGTTTCGTTCTTAAGAGCTGGCGTGAAGAAGAGACTCAAAAAGGTTTTATATCATGTCACGACTGACCTTTCGAACCGTGAAATAGATATTATACAAAACAGTCTGCGAGGAGTCAGATAAGCATGGGATCTGCATGACTTTCAGTGAAGTGTATGCAAAACCGGCACACGTGATAGAGTAGCGTGATTGACGGCAGCATACAAAACGCGTAACACCCAAAGGCAAGTTTAAAGTCCACCGCGAATTCTAGTCCTAGATGACACGTGGGTTAAATCGGGTACGCTGACGTGTTAATATCAACCATTGGTGCGTTATGGCAGAGTCCAACAAAAAGTGCGAGGCATGTGCTAGTACTTACGTGTTATTTATTAAAGGGGCCATGCAACACGTTTTGAGCATACTCATACAACGCTGACGATTGGTAGCGTTAACTTGTGAGAACAAGCGAGCCAAACATTATAGCGCAGCACGCTGCCTGAAATTTACCAATATATCTATTGCAGCTAAAAATCTTCTCCCTGTTTCCCTTCACAATTCATGACATAAACCCTAACTGCTGCACCAGATGCACCCATACTATGCGGCCGTTAGCTGATTTGACCATTGTGATTTCCATATATACCGGGGCTGCCGCAGGTTGTCGCCACGTGCCCATGCGTGCCCTAGCGATCACACTAAAAGTTAGCCTATATTAAAAAGGGAAAAAGTCAAAATTTCACCGCAATAGCGAACAATGAATGTGATATCAACGCCTTGGAATGTAATGTTGGGAACGGCAAACAGGTCGAAACGCCAGCGAATTCTCACGCACAAATGGCACACGAAAAGAACACACACAGGAAGACAGTGAACTAACAGCGTTTACAGCTCGATACACAATGCGCTGTTCAAATAAAAACGACGTACGGAACGTAATCACAGGTATAGATGAGTGCAAACTAACAAGTGCCCTGTATTTCATTCCTTCTGTCCCGGGTTCATGTTAACAAAAGCGCATCTTTAAAGATGAATGACCAACCAGCTCCCCTTATATTCCTCCTAAACAAAAATATAAACATCCGCTCTGGCCGATTATGAATATGCGGAAATCGCGTTGCAACTGATGGTCCAAGCACATGCAAATGAAAAAAAAAGCTTTCTGGGGAGGCATTGGCGAAATATTTCGTATGTCTCAGATGAAATTGCTCCCTAAGACAATGCGAAATGTGACATGAAAGATTGCTAAACTCAAGAAAATTCTAGTAATGCGAAAATTTATTGACTGACAGGCGTTTTCATGGTGACTGTAGAGTGTATTAACCGCAAGCGCATTACGGCGTTGGACGCCAATGGGCTTCTGCAATGAGGAGCCCACCTAGTGTTTGTGAGGGGTGTCTCAAACCGGGCCACCTCCCACATACTCCCTGTATATAAATGGAATAACGTTCTAGATGCGGAGCATCTAATACTCGAGGCTTGTAGTGCGGCGCCGTCCGCAAGCTTCCTCCTCCTTCTTCCACCATCTGTGCATCCCTTCCTCCTCTACACACCGCGCGCGCTTCACTCCTCCACCATCTGTGCACCCTTCCTCCTCTACACACCGCGTGCGCTTCTCCTCTTCACGAACATTCGCTAGCTGTATAATGTAGCGCGCATGCACCGTCACGCTTCGAGAACATCGGCAGCTGACGCGCGCGCATGCGCCGTCGCGCTTCGAGAACATCGGCAGCTGACGCGCGCGCATGCGCCGTTGCGCTTCTCCCCCTTCTCGAACATTCGACAGCTGACAGTGCATGCGCCGTCGCGCTGTATATATACTCAAGGTCGGCGCTCGCTCGCTCAGTTGCCGCTCGTCGGTTGGTTTGTACGGCGCGTCGACGTCCAAGGTCGCGGTGAAATGAATTCCAACGAATCCACAAACACAATGATCGACGTCCCTTCGACCAGCGCCGCCCTTTCGCATACGTGTGTACGTGTTCACTCATTTAACACCCCCTCCTACAACCACGTTAACCAATTTAGCCATCGACCCAAGTAAGTCGCAATTTAACACCCCATTTCACAACCACGTTAACCAATTTAGCCATCGACCCAAGTAAGTCGCCCTTTAACACCCCGTTAACCAATTATATGCTCCGCATCCTCCTCAGTGTTCCCCCGAGGGAAGCTGCGGGCAATTTTTTTCCCTCTCTCTGATGCCTTTTCTGATACCGAAGGATGTTAAGAAAAACACAAAAATTTACATCGTTTCACACTAAAGAGAACCATGTATGAATGCCGCGGGTTCGATTCCCGGCTGCGGCGGCTGCATTTCCGATGGAGGCGGAAATGTTGTAGGCCCGTGTGCTCAGATTTGGGTGCACGTTAAAGAACCCCAGGTAGTCGAAATTTCCGGAGCCCTCCACTACGGCGTCTCTCATAATCATATGGTAGTTTTGGGACGTTAAACCCCACATATCAATCAATCATGTATGAATGCGAAGCTGCAGGCGCAAACGCTTACACTGGCGGCGGCGTTGACGCTGGTGCTCAACGCGGCGTTGCACAGAAGAGAAACCTGAAGAGGCGCCAACAAAAACAAAAACAAGAAGAAGAACAGAAACTGTGTGCGTGCCTTAAACAACCACTAATGCAGTAAAAAAAACTTTATGAAGCCTGCAAAAACCGCATGTGGTTTCAGTTTTTTACTTTCACCGCCCGTGCAAATGTCATCACTTCCAACGACCAGTGATGTGAGCATTCATCCCAGTAATGGAAGGAGACCGAACGCAGATAAAAAAATTCTGTTTCAAAAGCTTTTACGCACTTTCAAGAAAAACCGCTGCAAGATTATACGCTTCAGATGGTACACTTTTTATTGTGACACAAAACAGAGAAGCAATGGATGACGGTAGGCAGTCCCTTTAAGGTGGCTGTTCCACTTCCTCCTTCTTGCAATAGTTCGAAAGACGCCACCAGGCCACGCCACTCATCCACGCTTGCAAAAGGCGAGAAAATCGCTCGCGCAAGTACGGTCAGCGACGCCTCGCGCGTGTCTTGTATGTCGTGCAAGGCGCTGGATTTCGTGCCGACCGGTTGTGCGCCCGCGCGCTCCGTGCGCTTGCGACCTTCGGCGTCACCGTAGCTCTGGCCGACTGGGCTCGCCCTACGTCACCTCCTGCCGCCGACGACCTTCGACGACAGCGAAGCTCTGACTTACTGGACCTGCTCTACGCCATCTACAGACGCCGACAACATCTCTCGCAAGTGTACCCCGTCCTCGGACTTCAGTGACCGTGCTTCCATCTTTCCTGTCTCTTCTATCCCCTCAGTTTGTTGTTGCTTCTTCTTCCTCTTTTCTATACCTTTACTTCTACCCTTTTTATCCCTCCTCCCCCCCATCCCTTGTGAGCCCTGTGGCGGTGTCGCTCACTGAAGCAGACAATAACGGGGCTCCCTTTTCTCTTCCTTTCTCTTTATTAAGAACCACTCGCAAGGCGGCGGAAATCGGCCGATGAAAACCAAGGAGGACCAGCGCAGACGGGGTCTTTCACCTACTATCCGCCAACTGTGGCCGTCGTTTCAACGACACGACGAGAGGTACCCCAGTGGTTGCGGCCGGAGTGGGACCACCACACTAAGCGAGCGTTGCTTGCTGGGTAGAGAGCACTAAAACTCCCCAAAGACAAACAGCGAGGCGGACGGATTTTTTGTGGATGCCTGGCGTTTTACCTGGAGCAAAAGCTTTTAATACTCAGATGTTTCCTCATGGATTCGTCAGACAGGACTTCCTTCTCTTCTCGGTTGGTGTGCGACACACCCTCCCCCGCTACTTTTTAAAATCTTTCTGCGCCTAGCGTGGATTTGAGCTGCCTGCTGGATCGGAGGCAGTGCACAGTTCAGTGCCCAGCCTCCGTCATCTACCTCGTCTCCTTCGACGAAGCGACGATGGCATCATGACGTCATACCCCAGCTGGGGCCTTTGAGGTATTCAAATAAATAAATAAATAAATAAATAAATAAATAAATATGGTGACGTCATTCTGTGATTATCTTTTTTTTTTCTTTGCTTGTACTGACACTAACGCCTGTAGGCGCTGATGCTGACGGAGGTGGTTAATTATCGCGTTTGATGAGGCACCTAAATATTTCGCCATAATTGACACCCTTTCTACTCGCCCTCTCTTTAGAGAGCACATTTACGCTTTACTCGACTGTCACTGTGCTTCCCTCACGGTAATTCTCCCATAATCACTCGCAGCTGATACCAGGCATCATCGTGAAGTTCTTCTGCCAGATCGTCAACCTGGCCTTCATCAACACGCTGGGCAATTACGTCTTCAACTTGCAGACTTTTCCATCATGGGCGTCAGCCTGCTTCAGCAGTGCGCCCTCTTTCGGCCCCATCCCTCATTAATGTGGCGTAAGTGTACCAGGCAACGCCACAAGCACTGCACTCCTTCGGGACAAAGGAACTATGGGTGCATTCGACATTATGTACGCGGTTTTTCGCCAGGTTGTCTGCGACATCTCCCGCTCAATTTTCATGGAAACTGGGCATGTTGTGTTGATCTTTTTTTCATACGCAATAATAAATATTTGAAAGAGATGATGATGGCCGTACGTGCTCGCAATGTCTATATATAATTGGAGGCAAAACATAAATATCTAATTTTACATATAATCGCAAATACACACGCATACTTCCTAAGAGGTTACGTACGCACATTGTTAAACCTGTAACTCTGGAAGGTACAGGAAACATCTCCCATATGCTCGAACTGTAGGCTCGTAACACTGAGATAGCTGATGAAAAATCAACTTGCTTCAGGCAGGGACTAAAAACTTTCATCTAGCCCATTTGATGCTCGACAATCGGCAGAACATCGGACAAGTTATATTCGATTCCCACAATCGGCTAGTTGATTTTAATAGCGAAGCTGTTCAAGTGGTGCGTGATTATCTGTTGAATCCAACAAATATGATCGTCAGGAACCGGTACGGAAACTCATAACCCTCTTCATCATCTGCTTCGCTGCTCGAACACCATAGATTTCTCTGTTGGTAAATACAATATATCTGATGGGCGAATGAACTAGTACAGAGATTGAATGAAACAAAAAAAAGGCAGATGATAAATATGGAGAAAAAAAATGAAGAAAAATAAGGTGAGAGATCGAGTAGATAGAGTAAAAGAGATAGATGCAAAGAGAAAGAAAAAGCAAGTGATGCCTAGGTAGAGTGAAAAAAGACAAAAAAACTGGGTGAGATAAGAACAGTGAAAAAGGAAAAGATTGAGTGAAATAGAAAGAGATATAGTAATCGAGGAAAGATAAAAAGGAGAAAAAGAAAAACAGCACTCTATGTGTTGCCATATTAAAAGAACCAAATATTGAAAGAATTACACCCTCTCCCACTAAAGGAAGATGGTGTAACCATGTGTTTATAGATTCAAAGCAGCGGGATCTAACACTTACACCAGTGGCGTGGACGCTGGCGCTCACCGGCGTTGCGCAGTAGAGAAACCTGGAGAGGCGCAAAGCACGCAATGATGGACTGGTGTTTCCTACTAGAACATGTCAATCGCTGCTAATGGGCAATAAGAGACAGAAGATTTAGATTGTATACAGAGACTGCAGCCCACTTTAACTTAACGCACACGCTGAGAATTTTTATTGTGAAACAACGCACAGGGGGAATTCCCCTCCTGCACTACCTTGGAGGTCAAGACTGAGTGCTGAGTGCATATATATATATATATATATATATATATATATATATATATATATATATATATATATATATATATATATGTGAGATTTAACAGACAGTAATGCCAAGGAATGTACAGGGGAAGTTATTAGAACCAATAGAATGTAAATAAGAAGAAAAGTGCTCACGGCTGGTTATTTTTTCATCCACTTTTCTTCTTATTTACATTCCATTGGTTATAATAACTTCCCCTGTACATTCCTTGGCATTACTGTCTGTTAGATCTCATTAATATTGTGCTAAAACACGGAATAACGAGCCCTTAGGTATACACTTCTTTCGCTTATATATATATATATATATATATATATATATATATACGGGGTGGGCACGAGCAGTCGGTTTTTAGGGACGAATATCCTAAAGCAATGGCTTGTCCGTCTTAGCTCGTACGTGAGCACCTACTTCAATGACTCACTCAGCAGTTGCGGATAAATGGAAGGATAGACGGAAGGATGGACGGACAGACAGACAGACGAACAGACGGACGGATGAACGATTCACGGTTTACCAATAAAACCCTCCGAAGCTTCGCCCCGCTCATCATCATTCACTCCGTGCATATGCTATGATTTTTTCAGTCAAGAAACCCGCTAGCAGAGTCTGCCTGCGTCGGCCTTGTGAGGTGAGACAGGGGGGGACTGTAGGAGAGGAGGGGGATGCGCATGCGTAATTAAGGTGTTAAAATCACTGGTAATGATGCCTAGAGGATAGAAATGGGGAATCGAGCTTAAGCTAGCAAGACGCTGCCTGCATCGGCGTTGCGAGGTGCGAGAGAGAGAGAGAAACAACTTTTTTGGTGGTATAACAAGGTCTGTAAACTTAATTTGCTGATGGTTCGAAGGGTGGTGGCCAAAAGCTTGTCACGACCATTTTGGGACAGAGTTTTCTAAAATAAACTAGAGGAAACTCTAGCACTGCGATCGTTCGGCGACCATGAGAATTATGGGTATGACATGGATTTGCCTAGATTTCGGGCTTGCGGGTGGCGAACGCACTTGTGACTTAGTTTATTGCTGTGGTTTGGTTTTGTTTCAAATGAAAGATCGAGCCGCTTGGAACTTCGTGAGCTGATTTGTAATGATGATCCTAAAAGGTGAAGGTGGTGAACCGTAACTGCCGAACATTTGCTGGTTGTTGTTTTGTGACCAAGCAGCTTCAAGCAACGCGAAGCCAGAAGGGACGTAAAGTACAAAGACTAGGCCAATCCATGTACTACCCTTAATTATGCCTTCTCGCTGAAGCGCTATGCGTTTTAGCTTCCATAGAGCTTCCTAAAATTAACTAGAGGAGACTCTAGCGCTGCGATCGTTCAGCGACCATGGAAATGATGGGTAGTACACGGATTTGCCCAGTTTTTGTACTTGCGGCTTCGTTTATTGCTGGTTTCAGTTTCGTTTTGAATGAAAAAACGAATCCTTTTAAACTTCGTGACTCGATTTCAAATGATAAGCCTAAAAGAATAGGGTGGTGAAGCGCAACCGTTGAATATTTGCCGATTGTCGTTTCATGAGAAAAGAGTTCCAAGCCACAGGAACACACACTGAGCCAGAAGCAGGCGAGAAGTACGAAGATTAGGCAAATACGTGTACTACTCATCATTCCCATGCTCCCCGAAGCGCCATGCGTTGCAGCTCCCATAGACACTGGCACCGGAGTTCTCCCTAGTGTATATTAGGAAACTCTATGAATGATCCCATGGACACTATCGCCAGAGTTAAAGCATAGTGGACGCCGATCGATTCTGCACCATGCGTCTGTTCTTCGGAGCGTGGACGTCTGAGCCTCCCTTCTTGCGACGATGCCCATGGTGCTGCTGTGGACGGCTGGTGGTACGTCGGTTGGCCTGGCGGTCAGCCCAGGGTCTGCTCTTGCAGCGGTGACCAAGGGGCCATCGGCACTGGGTGGTATGGCGGCGATGTACCAGGTGGTGAACGTCGCAGAGCGTCGGCGTAGCTCATGGGACGGTGCTAGTCATCGACAAGCAGTAGAAAATGCGTGGCGGATTTCGTCGCGTACCAGTTCAGCGACGGACGCAACGGGGGTTTGAGCAATCGGAGTACGAAACTTTTGCAGTTCTTCGCGAACTATCTCCATAATGAGGTCTCGCAGGGAGCTTTGATTCTCAGGTATGGCGGCAGCATTGATTGCGGCGCTGCTAGACATTCAATGATACTGCCTGCATCGTTGATGGAGGACCCGCTCAATAGCAGTAGCCTCCTTGATAAAGTCAACTACGGTACTTGGAGGGTGGCGCAGTAGCTCGGCGAAAAGTTGCTCCTTAACGCCGCGCATGAGGTAGCTCAACTTCCTATCTTCACTCATGTTCGGGTCAACTCGACGAAAAAGACGAGTCATATCTTCAGCAAACATAACAACGCTTTAATTGGGTTTTTGAACCCGTGGCTCCAACAGCTGCTGCGCATGGTCGCGTCGATCGACATTGGCGAATGTGTCGACAAGCTGTTGTCGGAAGTCGCCCCAAGTAAACAGCCTGGCTTCTCTGTTCTCATACCAAATTTTCGCACCGCCGCCAAGGTAGAAATAGGCGCGTGAGAGCTTCTCTTGTTCAGGCCATAGATTGATCTTGGCAACACGCTCATAGTGCTAAAGCCAGTCGTCAACATCTTCATGGGCGCCGCCATTAAAGTGATCGGGAACCAGCGGTTGAAAGATGGTTACCTGTGAAGGCGGTGTCAGCGGGGGGCCTTGGGGCGCTGGTTGCGGATTGGCGTTGGCCATTTGGAGAGGTAATCGGCGCCTGCGAGGTTCCGTGGAAGGAGTGAACTCTAGAGCGAGGCCTATCAGCCGCCGACTGAACCGGTGCACGGGAGTTGCAATGGATGACAATGCGTCTGAGCTAGATGAACGGCTCCCAGTGGGAGTATGGGGCATTAGGTATGGTTGCGGCCCAGCACCTCCACCAGTGTCGCGGCACAGCGCGAACCAAAGGCAGATAAACGTTGACACAGCGACTCTCAGCAGCCGAACAGCAACATCAGATCAGCCAGAGCTCCACTACCTGGTGTCCGCCAAATCCCCTTATCGTCGTTTTGGTCCACCGCTAAACACGCGTCAATATATATATATATATATATATATATATATATATATATATATATATATATATATATATATATATATATATATATATATATATATATATATATATATATATATACGCGAAGACGCGATCTGCCGTCAAAGCTAGCCTCTGCTCAGCTGCTGCGGACGCTGTTAAATGAAGCTAGTGAAAGGACCTCACATATCAAATGTATTTCCGGCACGTAATGGAATGTCATGGCGGCATATGTTAACCAACTTTTTTGTGTTTTGGACCCAGCGGCAGCCGACAGGCGTAGCTAGTCTAGTACACGTAGCACCACAATCTTGAAGCAGCAGTGCCATGACAGGAATCCTGCGTCGTTATACGCCAGTCTGGCATTCTGCCAATCCCTGAGAAGGGAAGAACTGGGTGTAATGTCAGCGCGTAACGATGTGCTTCATCCTTTGTAATCTCTTCCATACGGACATCAAAATTGGTGAATTTGGCGACACTGCAGTAGTTGTCGGCCATATTGTTCGACGAAGAAACGGCAAAAGTAGGACTCAAGGTAGTGCGTAGCTGTACTTTACCTTTCGGCA